TGTTCTGTTTCCATAGGAGGTGCAGGACTGAGGATATTAATAACTTAAATTGCACATGAGCCTTTTAAGATGAGCAAAAATGTGACAGGAGCAAAAACAAACTGCTGCACAAGTGACGATCGAGCTAATGAGACATGAGATCAGCAAATACATCAACTCAAAAACTTTCAGTGACGTGAGCTTGCGATAAAACACTTAATGTATTTCATCAACTGGTTTCATTATCAATTAGTTTCCCAGTTAATAAAATAATAATTTAGCTCATTAAATGTCAAAAACAGAAACAAAAAGTGCTCATTAAAAGTTTCCAGAACGTTTCGTCTCATTTTGTTTGACCTCAAGTCTAACAGTGATATTTCATGTTTAGTCTCCTATTTGAGGAGAATAATTTTTCACTGCTTTTTCTTGACAAATAACTGAAATCTAACGATCTAAACAGGAGGCAGGTTATTTTTCTGTTCTTCTATAGACTCATTCAGCTCTTCTTTGCCTTGCCGTCCTTCCTTATTTGATGATTTGATGATTTTCTGGCTGATGGATGTCAGAGAATTTAACTTCAAGCAGGTAGTTTGGAGATTTCGCTGCCTCTGAATCAAATGGAACTAGTTTCTATAAAAGAAAACCATCTTCTGCGGATTATCCACAGCACAAGTGACTGATGCAACACTTAGTCATCGCCGGAATCACCGCGACAATGCAGTCAGATTCAATTATCCTCCGCCAAAAGAGAATAAAACATGACTAAAGACGGGGAAATTAATTACCATGGGCACCTTCTGCATGTTTCCTGCAAGTAAACTCAGCTTGTAACCTGATGTTCACCCTTCAGGATCATTTAAACTCTCTGCATCTCATCACATCAGCCCCGCCCCACGGTGATGATGTCATTGTTCCCATGGTGATATAAGACCCGCGGTGGGAGGGGTTGACGGTGGTCAGCAGGGGGGATATCGGCTGCACACAGTGGACTGTGACCACGTTATGGATCCAGAAATAGGTCACCAGATCCTGCAGGCTCAGCCCCAAGGGCGCCTCCTAACTGCACTCACACAAATGGGAGCCGAGCCATTTAAATCCATCGATACACCGACGGCTGGTCGCTGGTCGGGCTCTTTAGGCTTTTATGCCAGTGGTGGTGATCAAAAAAAAAAAGCCTCAAACAGCAGGATTTAAAAGAAGAAAAAACATTTAATGCTTTGTCATAAATCAATATTAGTCAACT